GTTTCTATTCTAATGCGTTTCTATGAATAGCTTAAGTCAGCTATTGCTACCATATGCTTTTAATTATCTGCAGAAATTGGAGATTGCCGGTCGCAAAAATATATACGGAAAATCAGACACGTTTAAACACGGATGCGGGAGAGTATAAAACGAAGCGCGTCTAGCATTCGTGTTGCGAAATATCATTTGGAGATGCCGATATTTCTTAATGTAAGCCATTATTTTTAAGGTAAATGAAAAAAGGTACGAAGTAATGTGCAAGTCATTTAGTTGCTTTTGCGGATAAAAAGTTAATTTTAAAAGTGTTACATTTATATGCTAAGTTAAGATTTTGCAAATACGAAAATATTTTGGTTCGTCAATGAAATTTCCCAAATGTCCGAAAAAGTAGTTTCGAAGTGAAAACTTATTAGAGAGCAATCGTATACGAAGTGAGCAATCGTATACGAAGCACCAATCTAGCATAGCCAATTTAAAAAGTGTTAGTTTAAAGCAGAGCCAAAATTTACAAAAGCTAAAATTTTCGCTTCGTTAATGAAACGTTCACACTAAGATAATCGGAAATCGGTAGTTTTTAAGCTGAGAATCTATTAGAGAGATTACAATACGCACGTAGAAAAGTGTGTAATTCTATATGAAGGAACTATCCAGCGTTTCGGTCGGTTGTCGGTGTTTTCCGATGTAAACCTTGTTTTTTTTTTAAATAAATAAAAGCCCCAAAGTAAAATGCGACTTATTTAGTTGCTTTTCTAGCTAAAAAGTTAAATTTTAAAAAGTGTTAGTTTAAAGCAGAGCCAAAATTAACAAAAGCTAGAATTTTCGCTTCGTCAATGAAATGTTCACACTAAGATAATCGGAAATCGGTAGTTTTTAGGTTGAAAAAATATTAGAAAGATTACAATGCGCATGTAGAAAAGTGTGTGATTTTATATGAAGGAAGTATCCATCATTTCGGTCGGTCGGTCGTCGGTGTTTTCTGAAGTAAATTTTTTTTTCTTTTTTTTTTTAAATAAAAGGCCCAAAGTAAAGTACGACTCATTTAGTTGCTTTTCTATTTAAAAGGTTAAATTTTAAAAAGTGTTATGTTTACTAAGTCAAAAATTTCGTTTCGTTCGTTTTCGTGAAGTTGAATGCCTATTAGAGAAATTACAATACACACATAGCAAAGTGTGTAATGAAGGACCTATCCAGCATTACTCTTCTCAACGAAATATCATTTCAAGACGTCGCTATTTCCCAATGTGAACCAACCCTTTTAGAGTGAATGAAAGGTTTACTTAAGCCCCATTTTATGTTAAAATTAACTTGATTTTCGAAAAGGGCAGAGAAAACTTCAAAATTTCAATACATATATGATATCAAGAACTTTTTTAAACCTAGCCAATACTCTGAACAGAACCACTAAGGTAAGTGCGCATTATATTTCCATTTCTAAACCCAAAAAAAGAGAGCTAAATGAATATTTATATAACTTGCTTTTTGTCATTTATGAAAAATATTTTGACTTCTTTCGAATATTAATTTTTTTTTTCTCGGGACACGGAAAATGGTCGAATGGTTCGAACCACTCAAAAGCCTGAACTCTGGCAAGATTTATGTAATTTTTTGCGCGAGACGTTAAAACCCTTATCTTGTTGGCTTTCTTAATGAAATCGTTCATCCTTTTTTTTTATCAAGTTTAGGTCTGTTTCTTCTAATCCTTCAACCGTCACCATTCTCGTTGTTGTAATACATTGGGTCTTCGCTGTTTTGAATTAGAAACTACGAGGTCTCTTCATCTACAAAATATGTTGCTTGATGAAAAATAGTTTCGTTTATTTCGATATGTTTTTATTATGAAACCGTAAAATAAATAATTGATAGGTATCAAAAGATTGTTCTTCAAGTTAAATTAGTTTTTTTCTATTTTTTAATTGATTTTAAGCAGTGATATGTTGTAAATACAGAGTATATATAAAGGTTTGGAAATTTTTCTACATTTTTTATGAAGATATAAATATTTACATACGCAAACGTGTAAACAAGTTATTATTTATTGTCATCAATGTAAGTTGCTTCCTTATTCTTTCTGTTATCTCTCTTTGTTGCGAATTATTTCCGTGAAAATTTTTCAGTTCTCTCTTCTGTATCTCTTTAAATTCATATAAAATGGATTGTTCACGATTAAATGATTTTCGTTAAAGTCATTGTAGTCATCCGTATCATGATCCGTTTCTTCTTTATAAATGGATTTCAGTGAACCTGGAAAGGGTGTAACCATTTCGGAACTATATGATGTAGGATCTTCTTCACTAATTTCAAATGGATCTACAGAAACATATGAAGCTGAAAAGCCCTTCATCGTTATCGAACCATCTGTTTTAAAGCGCACGAGCAACGAGTCTGTTATCGAAATGATATCTTGAGGTAACTGCAAAATTCAAATTTACATTCATCCGATAATTAATAAATGAAGATTCATTCTTCGCAACTTACGGTGTTAGTGCAATATTGTCCGTACATGGGACCACTTGTGTCTTCCATACCGGAAAAAACTTGCACATAATCGTACGTGCAGTTTTCACTTGTTTCCAAATCGAAAGTTAGAAATATTAATTGTACATTACTGCTGACTGGTGCTTGAATCAGCCATTCGCAATCCATATTTATGTCATAATTTTGATTACCGTAGCGTGCATGCGAATAGAATTGTTGTATTTGGCTGGTGGCGCGCAAATAACCTCCACAGGCTAGATTTCACATTTTTTATAAATAGATCGAAAGAAAACTTTTCATTCATGAATGTAACGTAAATTTGCATTTCATTTTTTATATGCTTCATTCCGGTGCTCCGGTTTTCCTCATTTAAAGCAATTTTAAAGAAATCAAAAAACTACTTCGTTCAGGAAGCTTAAATGTTTTCAAAAATGCAGCGGAAAGACTGGCAGATCTGTAGAAACTTACGTAGGCACTTGCCAAAAGAAAAGAACCTATTTTCGACTTGGAACAGACTTCTTAACATCTCTAACGTTACCCTTTAGACTGTATTCAATTACAGTATATTCCACGTATATAAAATGTTAGCTGGTTTGCTACTTAACACAGAAGAATATTTAGGAACAATTTATGAGTGCAAATTCTGAACGAATGAAGAGAAGAAAACTATCGTTTTTTTGATAATTATGACGGACCATTGATTAGTTTTTATCCTAATAAGGGAGAGACCAAATTTGTTCTTCTAAGCAAACGATGTTAATCGTAATTTCAATAAGAGCTTCCATATGCAGGCTAGAAAAAGTTTGATCTCCAAAGTTTGGTCTCCAAGGAGAACTGTAATGGTTTACATTTCACAACCTTAATATACTAGCTAAGGTGGGTATAGTCTAAATGGGCAAAATCATATTCAATAATACATATATATATATATATGTATGTCAACATATATCTGATACTATTTAGTCTACGTACAAGTAGAATGAACCGCCGTGAAACCATTGTGCTGCTTATTTTTATCAGTTTTTAAAACCATGTAAAGTTGATTTGTTGAAGAGGATATCGGGTAAGGTATTTTATCGCCGCAAAAACGTCCTAAAATCGAACTGCTTTCCGAATCACCATCATATATAGCCACATTGTCATAAGCGCACTCCTAAAGAAGGATAGAATAAAAAATAGACAAGTGAGAAAATTACTCTCAATTATAATCGTATCTCTTAAAAATAAGTTAAAAACATTAAATTTCGACTGAAAAACCAAAAAGCCGAGATATTCTCAGCTGTGTAGTAATCGCGTCCATTGATTAATTGACCCATTTTCAATAATAGCTGGTGTTCAAAGAATGCCGATCTTCAAGCCGATACTTTCATGTTTGCAATTGGGGGAATATTTGTCACATAACTTATGGAGATTGGAAGAAGGATAACTGGACAGACGGACATGCTTCAACGCATACCAACTTCGATATCCATCAAGAATATATATATTTTACATATATAAAATTAAATTTCAATATTCTCGAATATTGCGGTGACGTGCCCCATTTTTTCACGTTTTTGCAAAAGTACTAGAGCATCGCCTCTAGAATAGATGTGAAAATTTTAATCGTTTTATTCCTTGTAGTAGACCGTATTTAAAGCATTAGTGCGATCAGAAAAATGTTGCTTACAGACGTTAGGCAGACATGATTAAATTCATTCCGAATTCATTCATACTGATCAGGAGTATATATATGGCTTCCTGAAGATTCCTACCGAGAGTGATATGGCAATATGAATATACCGTCTTTCTTCATTTTACATACATGAACATCGACTTTTCATTCATAACATTTATAAATCATTTTTCATGAAACAAGACCGTTTTCTAATTTGCTCTACGAAATTGTATAAAATCAATCTTATTACCGGAAATATTATGACTATTATACAGTTTACAGAATATGCAGACCGACTTGACTTTATTAAATTATAAATTAAGCAAACAGCAATCCTTCCGTATTTATACCGGAAATTTGGATATTTAGTACGAAAAAGTGGAATTTCTTTTCACTTTCGTGAAGAGTTTTGGTTGTACCTGATGCGATTCCAATTTAAATTCATTGAATATAAGCTTAATGCGGTGGCCAGGTGTTGTTAAAAAATGCCAAACGCAATCAGCGTTCGGAGGATACGAATCGGGATAGTTAGGACTATATATCGTGCCGAATGGAGCAGAGATTTCATGTTTGCATTCGCCCTCCTTGCAATCGTGACCGTTTTCATGTAACGAATAACCATTGTGGCAAGAGCATATGTAAGAGCCTATCGTATTACGGCACTCATGCTGACAACCGCCATTATTTACGGAACACTCGTCCACATCGGTGAAGAATACTGCCGCAAATCCGGTGCTTTGTATCGATTTGTCCGAATGGAATTCAATGCGAAGAGCATTACCTTCTGATGTAGCGGCCGGTGGCGTTGAACTGCCACAATATGTTCCAATTCGTTTTAATCGATTTTCACTCAGTTTCGAATATATGGTTACCTTATCGTAACCACAATCACTTTGATGATGGGCGGCTCCTTCCAAGTCGAAATGCGTGAAATTCAATGATATTTTATGTTTTGGGGGAGCGATTATCTCCCAAATGCAGTCCTTCAACAGAGGATATTTATCGGGAAATGAGGGTGAAGTTATTGTACCATTGGGATACTCAATTACACCGCCACACGCATCTTCACAGTGTTTTTTATCACTGTGCAATTCGAAACCTATGCGGCAATTGCACTCATAACCACCCAATGTATTAATGCATTCGTGTTCGCAACCATGATTCTTCGTTTCGCATTCGTCAACTTCTTTCATAAATGTCGCCGAGAAACCCGGTTTCTGTACGGACGTGTCGGAGACAAACTTCATATACATAACGTCACCAGTCGATCTAAATAAAGAAAATGTAAAAAAAGTGATCGAATCTTGGCTTCTAATTATGCGTCCTGTTCTTAGCTTGTTGTTTGCTTACTTCATATTAGGTGGTGGTTTGTAACCGCAAAACACTCCGATTAATGGTGAATCCTGCGTGGGACCATCTCGCACCTCTACAAAATCATAAACGCAACTATCATGATTTTCAACTTCGAACGATTGGAATTTTAGCGCAACCTGATATCCTTTGGGCGCTGTAATCTTCCATACGCATTCTTTATTAGGCAAATAGTCCAACGGATAATTCGGTGATTCTAGACGGCCTTCGTTTTCGTCTATCGTTATTTCGCCACCACATATAACTAAAAATTTGAAAGAAATCCAGTATGAATACTCACAAGTCTACAAATTCTATTACTCAAGAAAATCACTGTTGAGTAATGGAAACGGAAATCGAAAGTAGATACATTTGGTTTACGGATAAACCGCGTTTAACTTACCCTCAAATTCGGCTTTAAATCCTCGAAATCCATTGGTGCGATGAGCATTTACGTAAGTCAATAGCATTCTACTTGTGTCCGTTGTTAATGCTTCATTGGAAACTTTGCCGCAAAAGCGGGCAATTAATGGCGACTTATGATAATATCCATCGCGGATTTCTAAATAATCACTTTGGCAATGTTCCGATTTAAAAATATTCTAATATTAATAAAAATGTAAAAAAAAAAAAATGTATATTAAAAAAATTTATATATACTAGCCACGTAATGGCGGCTCATCAACTCACCAAATTTTCTATTCTTAGAATTACTCGTTCACCATGAGTTGCTGTAATGCGCCATTCGCAATGTTCGGTCTCGTTGGTTAACGCACCACCCGTATAATACGAGGGGCTGGCAAAGAGGCCGGTATTTTCTTGAAAGGTTCGACCACATTTCGGACATTTATACAAGAGATTGGCTTGTGCTATATCGCCCATACTTAAGCGCAAGCGTTGACCGATTTCCGGACGTTTTTTGCCCTTGATTTCGATTGGCAAAATAGTGTCCAAGTAAGTGCCTTTCGAGAATGTATTGCGCGCATAATGCATTATCGAATCGTAATCGTATGCCATGCCTAATGAGTCGACTTCATCTGGAGTCAATTTATTAAAATTGTAATCCTGACCCTTCATTATATTAATATGATCAATGATTACATGTTTTTCGCGATCAGGACGAGTATGTTCATGCCAAAAGCCAACTACGTGACCTAATTCGTGAACAACAATTCCAAATTTATCACAATTACGACCAATTGAGATGGCTTGTGGTCCATTTCCACGTTTACCAACGAATGAGCAACAACTACAAAGGACAAGAGAACGGTTTTGGGTATGAAACTTTTACACTTCTGGGATATATATAGATACTTTCATATATATGTGTAGATGTGTTATGCTTACCCGCATCCTCGTATTGTAAAGACAATGTAATTTGGATGTAACTCAGTATCTCTTTCTACAAATTTAATGCAAGTAAAATTTTCCCAATGGCGCATCGCTTGCTTAAACAAAGCCTTATGTAGTCCGCTAAAATTGCCATCAATTTCGTATGGGATTACGCCGTAATCCCAAATACGTTCCTTCTTGGCTGTTACAGCACGTATCGAACGACGACGCTCGTTAATGAAACTAAATTCACTATAAAAAAATTTTTACAAACAAACAATAATTAATTGGAACAATCTTGGACTCAAGTCTACATTTTGATATTATCTTCCCGCCTACTCGAGCTCAACTGAGCTCGAATACATTATCAGAGCTTCGAGATTTTGCGATCTTGTCATTAGACAAAAGCGCAAAACGAATTTGATCGTCTATCTCTCTCTCCGTTCCTTTCCCCATTAACCTAATTCAACTTTTTCGGGTTTTGGAGGAAAAAAATTGAAAAACTCAATTGCACAACGTCATTGTATGTTTGAATTCTCCTATAAGTTGAGAGCATTAGCAATATTATTAATTATTGTTTTAATACCCGTTGATGAAACATCGATTCAAAAATAAGAACAAGGTTTCGGAAGATCTTACAAAATATCCTTTATTTCATCCATTCCTATTTATGAACTCGGAATAACTAAACATTTTAAAACAAATACAATTTCTGATGTTTCACAACATTTTAACTTACTCATTATCCCGGCTGGGAAATGCAATCAGAGGCTCTGACTGATTATCGACATGCAATAAATGCTTAACAAAGACTTCATTACTTTGAACGTCGACGACGATTTGATGATTATTCTCTTTCGCCGCTCGCTGTTGATGATCGGATGACGGATGCCTTCGTATTGGAAGAGGATTCAATTCATCTTTCAACTTTTGCAACTTTTCATTATAATCCGATTTATTATTATTGGTATCATAACTATGCCTGAAAATATCAAGTAAACAATGAATTTTTTAAAAATTATTTTCGAAAAAATTACGAACGAAATATTTGGTGCAAAAGTTGCTTTTTTTTGAGTTGTTCGGAAAGTCATATCGTTTTCTTTTTTCTTTTTTTTTTTTGATCAAAATGAAAGACGATAAATCTATGATTATGAAAGGCCGACTTCGATGAATGTAGTCTCTCAGTGATCTTATGAATTGTTATTCGTCGGTTTGCATCAATTAATCTGTTTTGTCTTTATCAGCTTCAACGGAACCTTGTAGAAGGTGATACCTGTTCAATATCAAAATTTTCTCGAAACGCAATTTTTATAAGCCTGCCTTGGCACAAGTCCTCTTCTTCAATTACTTTGAATGATTGCTTTTCTTGCTTGAAAACCATTTTTCATTTTATTGATAGTAAAAAACTGAAATATGTCGGATTTTGCTGTTTTCGACTTTCGATGACTAATAGGGCATCAAACAAAGGCTATCAAACAAATTTTTTCAAAAACAAATCTTTCTCTATATTAATTGTTAAAATATATATTGTAAGAAGTGATGAATCAACTCTTATTCACTCGCTTTATATTAAACAGGGGGAAGAAGATATAATAAAAATGCCGTTCAACTTGAGTATCAACTTGACTGTGCAACTCTACTTTTGGGGAAAAAAGAAACGCCTTTCCGAGCAACGTAATATATTCGCTGCAATGTCTCATATAATGCTTAGAATAAAATACATTTGTTCTAGATTAACATAAATAATAGATTCGTATTAGCCAAGTCTGTCCATCCGTCGTTGGGCTTTTCACATGCGACATACCGTCTAGAAAAAATAACTTTATCTTAAATCTTTTCCTATCTTTCTCGTTCCCTATCTGAAAGTAGACAACTAGCTTAATCGGGATCTCTAGGAATGGACTTTAATTTCGGCGATTACTTATAGAACTACTTATGAAATAATATAAAGTGTATGTATGTTTTTCTTTTTCTTGCTAACGGCAATATAGCGATGGATACTCAATGAACAGATCAAATCCACTTGTTTCCTGAAGCTCGCGCAGCTTTTTTAAAGTCTGTCCCCCATTTTCTGTGTTTTGTACAAATTTTGCATTGAGAAAAATGGGATACGATTCAAATTGTTTAGGATAAGTCCTATCATCCTATACTCAAAAAAAAAAAAAAAAAAAATGATTATTAATCTTAACTTAGACATCACAGAACACATGCAATTGGAATGCTTGACAATATAATAATTATGATCTAAAGAGAAAGCTAAAAGTAATTGCAAATAATATAAAGTAATCTCATACAGTACACAGTATTGATTGATTTTAATTAATTTACTTACCTACTTTTACGTCTGCGTCTGTGCTTTCTTCGAACTATGGTGCTACTGCCCTTAAATTCTTGAATATCATCCATTTTCATACCGTTACCACCCGCATTCGAATACACGTTCGGTAATGTGGTTCTTTGAGTAGGCGATGCCGTTGGTAAAATGACAAATTTACGTTCCGATACAAAATTATTATTTGTATCTAATTCAATGTCCTTCGTGTTGGATTGTATTTTACGTTGATCGACATTGCGATTACTTAAACCGACAGGCGATTTATTCACTTTCTCCCCAGGATAGATGTAAGTGGTTTCCGTTGCAAATGTAAACTTCTTTTCAGGCGCGTGAAATATTTTCTTTAAAGCTTCTTTATCGATTGGCCGATCATCTTCTTTGGCCGTCGCGGTATGTTCTTCAATGACTGCCGAAGGATTTCTTTTAATTTGATTCGAATAATTTTCAAAACTAATTACATCATTTTTATGATTTTTATCCCTATAATTGTAATTTTCTCGCGATTGATGATGAAAAGGTTTTACCAATTCATTGGCATTCTGAAATTTCAAAAAAAGCGCTAGTCCATCGTATCAATTCAATATTACATTTCATTAACTTACAGAGAAAAAGTCCGTATTTAATTCAGGCTTTATGCTGGGCAGTTTAGTCTTCCTTCGAATGATGTCCGTTAAGCCCTCCTCTTCCACTTGCAAGCCCTCGTGATAAACTTCTTGCTTTAAAATTTCCATTTCCTTTTGAAATGTGTCATTGAATTTTATGATTGCTTCTCTAGATGGCGTTGTATCCAAAACCTTCCCAATTGTAGTATGTGCGACTATTGGGTAATCATCATAAGTAGTTTCGGGCAATGCTATATCACCCATAAAACCGCCTAAAATGAATATATATATATATATATATATATATATATATATATGCACATGTATATAAAATTGTCGAAAATACAATCCAAACGGAGATGAGTTTCATACATACCAGCTTTACAAGGATCCATGTCGATGTCATCAGATATTTTTCGTTCAAATTTTGTATTTAATAATTCTTCGATTGTATACTTGCTACGATACTTATGTTTGGGTACTTGAGCGGATACAATTGTACCTTGAATCGGATTAATGTTAACGATATCTTCCAATTGCGGAATGTTATTATTATTGTGGTGGTGATTGTGATGATAATAACGATGCAGCCACAAATCGGAATCCAAATTTTTCCGATGATGTTGACTTCGTTGCTGACCAGTTCGATTACCTTGCCGATGATATTGTTGACTTTGATGATTGCGATGATGATTATGATGATCTTGTCGCAGTTCTTGTGATTCGCGAACGTTTTGAGTTTGTGTGTTTTGTAATGCGGAATAATATTCTTTTGTGGATGATAATATGTTTTCATCGCCATTATGGTTAGTTAAGGCATTTTCGGGCATGGCTAACGCAGCAAATTGCTGTTGCTCTGATGATGTTCGCGATGATTCTGCTTCCCCATTTAAAGGTGAATCGAGCGATGACGGCAATGACGAAAAAGTGTGAAAACTTACTTGAGCGCTTTTCGCACACGCAGAAATTAAAACGAATATTGCCGTAATAGTAAAGGTTGCATAATTCGCGATCACTACATATCTTCGGCTTCTTCCTCGTGTAAGCGATCGTGCCATTTTTCGTTTTTTACTTTCTTTTTAATTCGTATGAACGCGCACGCACGTACGTAAATAAGTTATGGAAAAGATATCTCAAAGTGATTATGAAATATTTGAAGTAACCGCAAATTCGGTCATGTAGACTCAAAGTGTTTTTGTCGTTCGTCAATTTATATTCGAATCTGTAAAATAGGAAAAATATTACTGAACGAATTGGAATTTTAAAACATGCAAACATTATATATATGTTGAAGAATTTCTTATTATTATATATATATACATATATAGTAAAAATACGGAGAATCGACATTTTGTTAATTTCTCTTTAAAATTTTATTTCTGAATATATTGCAAAAATATTGAAATGAAAATTTATAAAGTTGAAGAAAAATTATGTGTGAAAAATTATGTGTTGAGCCCTACTATTAATGGAGTATCGGCCACGCCCATACAAAGTTATAAGTAATCAAAATTTTATTTTTTCACTTTTGTTACATTTTGTGCTTACTACTCGGAAGGTAAAAATTATTCTGTACATTCCTCACCTCTTTTAATTCTAAAATATATATAGTGGATCCTCCAAAGGTGTGGAGGATTCTCAGCAGAAAAACCAATCAATTCAATGTATCAATGTAATGCAACAAGGTAGGTATGTTGATTCTAAATCAAATATCCCCGACGTCTCCAACGTGCTGAAATAACTTTTTCTACAAAATCCCATCGATATGCATATCAAACAAAAGGGCTTGGAGGATAAGCGTGATGGATATAAAATCTCGGCCGAATATAATTTTCCTTCTTTTTGTTTCTTACAATAAATGTTTTATGAATTTTTATCATTATTTTGCCCTTCCATGTTTGAAAATTCCCCGCTCCCTCCGCTACCCCTACGCCCCACACATCAACGATTTTTTGCTTGAAAGTGTGTGAGAGAGAAAATTCTTCGAAATGATATTTAAACTCAAAATGTTCATCACTTTCTTTTCAATGTCTTGATAGAATTTGCTGACTTCTTTCAAATTGGTTTTCATCTCCATTCAACGATGAGTTTACATTAATATATTTCTTTTTGAAAATACTGTTAAATGAATGAAGTAAAGATTTTTTCGCCTTGTTAGCGAATTAGAAAAGTTAGACGAGTAAGACGTTAGGCAGGAATTTCTTGAAGCAGGCGAACTTTTTCGAATACTTAAGGTAAAATTCGGATATTCGAAGAAAATTTCATTTTTCAATTAATTAATTTCTTTTACCGTTATTTAGAAAATTCAAAGTATTTTTCAAATCGAATTTATAACAATGATTTTCCCCTTCACAATTGCTTAGTTAATAAATTAATTGAATATTTGCTAGTGTTTAATAAAATTTATAAATTCATTAAAACAAATAAATTGATGATTAAAAGAAACCGGAACACTTAAGAGCATCTCAGGAAGTAAGTGTAATCGGATTTTTAAGGTCATTGTAACAAAATTGAAATCACCCCCTTTCCTTATTGCAAGCAATACATATAATAAGCATCACAGGCAGCCATCATATACCGATCGAATGAATAAGAATATCAGTTTTTGTATGAAAATCAGGCTCAACCTGCAAGCCAGAGAAATACTATTAAGGGTGAATTAAGTATTTATGCAAATATTACAGTTATGCTCGATCGAAAAATACTCGATTTGAAAAATGTTTAATAAAATCGATGCCATTTCACGCTCTGCACACTTTTCGAGAGTATGAATGAGACCGTAGTTGAAATTTGAGGTTAGTCGCTTAAGAATTGAGCAAAGTTTAATGGTAAGGCTAAGAAAGTGCTTTAAAAGAATTGTTCTTCTTCTTCTTTTTTTTTTTTTGGGAAACCAAAAGATGTTGGGTCGCCATTTTGTTTTGCAAAAATTTTTTTCAATTATTAAGTGCATCAATGAATGCACACACACATGCGTAAACAATATGTTTGGTGTGTGTGAGTGTTTGTACAACGATTGACCTTTAGCGAGAAAAATTAAAAATTTAGTAAGGAAAATTATCCGCAAGTTTCTCCCGCCATAAGGTCTCGTTTAAATTTAAAAAGCATAAAAGAAGGCACCTATGTGCAGTGCCTCAGTGAACACTCTATCCAAAACTTTGGAAACCTATAGAAAGATCATGAAAAGAAATGGAAATCTTTGTTCATAACTGAAAGACGAAACAATCTTGCGACAAAGTAAACGCATAAAAACATTTTGCTGCCAACCAATGCTGCCGTAGAAAATGTTCGCGAACGTAAGAGTGAGTCCAACTGACCACAAGAGAATTTTTTGTAAAAGAAAAGACAGTAAGTAGTAGTTCATGGAAGAAAAGAAAAGTTTGATAGGGTAGGCGAGTGCAAGTGTCATAATGCTGCACGCATTTGCGTTCTTTGTAACTTTTTTGACTCAACCATATAATATATAGTATTAAGATCAGATGTATGCACTCGCATAATATTCATTCGAATTGCTTTTCAATTTGAACCCAAAACTAATATACGCTTATGTACATGTGCATTAAACTTTTGATAAACTAATGTTTTGTCATCTAAACATATATAATACAGCTAAAGAGTGTGCTTTAGTCATTTCATTTAATGTGCGCGCAGATGTCTTTATGGATATGTAGACAGTCGTACATATTTATTTTTATATGTAATAAGCCTTACGAGTCTTCTTTGTACACATACTTATACATCATCAGCATTTGTGTGCCCGCTTTTATAGCGTATAGCGTATTTGTGTGTACATTTACTGTTTTCACGAGGCTCGTGGGAAGTAATTAATCAAAATGTATCATAATAATCAATATGTAAATGTCCCATAAGAGTTAGTGCGAAAAAATTTATATTTTTGTACGAATGTATACATAATTGACTTGCAAGCATTTCTCGCTTAAGCGTTTCTCGCTTAACTAACACATAGAGACATTGCATTTAATACAATTACATTATCTATACATATGTATATACGCAGATATGTATATATATATATATATATAGATATACATGTATATATGTAGAAAAATAGATTATCTATAGATTGAAATATGAAATGAATTTGACAACAACATGATTACAATAACATTTTCTTATCATCGAGAACTGACCTTAGTTAGTAGCTAGATTTCTTTGGAGCAATTCTTAAAGCACTTTGTCAATAATTGTAGGCCTATTAGTCGGCTGAAGGAGACAATTTTACATATCTACCTCTCGAGTTCTGAACAAAAATTGTATTTGAACTATAACTTGTAGTTCTTTGTCCATTATGAGTCTCCGAATATACTTTCTATAATCAGTTTTTGCGATTATAACGGTTTCAGTAACAGACGAATGACAGCGAAACCTATAGGCAATCAAGTGAGATCCTTTCGCTGATCTAATTAGATTTATGTGCAAACAGCGTTGTTGAGTACAGTGCCATCAACGGTGCTGAGTACAGCAAGTGCGTGAAGGACACATGTAATGGATAATTTTTACTCCATGTGGACTTTTACGAAATTAAACAAGAGATGTATGCAGCAAACTTTAGGCGTCTATTCCAAGCGCTGCGAGAAAACGTACGCAATTAAATGGAAGTGAAATTCTCGCCTGATCAAGCGCGTACGTATATCCTTTCCTAGAGACTTTCATGTACTTCTTTGCATTCTGTCATATAAATGGTGATTGAATCAATAAATTGATTAAAATTGTTTTAATAAATTCTGTCAGTCACTATCATCCTTGCCATCACTTAGGACCAATTGGAAGATATATATATATATATATATATATATACATATATATGCTCCTGGCACATAGTCGACTAAATTGAAAACGACGTGCGCAAGAGGTGCCCTTAATTGAACGCCCCTAATGCAAATCCTATACATTTTCACTCGAGCCGAGACATTGTTGTTGATTTTGTTACGTTTACTCTTATCTCCATTAATCGATTGTTGTTTTCTTGTGTGGGAGCAAAAAGAATTCCGCATTTCATTTCATTGTTAATCACATTCACTCTCCATACAAAATGTAAAACTTCTTGACGCGGCTAATTTCTTTCTTGCGTTGTAAAGACGCAAAGACTTATTGGTTTGCTAATGGTTTATACGGTAAGCTATTTGCTCGCTCTTACACATTCACACACATGTGTGTACTTACTCAGTGCAAGGATTTGGTCAAATACATACATACACGTTCACTTCGAGTACATATATTTTTATCAAAATTCATAATTACGTCTTCAACAAAAAAAAAAAAAAATAAGACACAGCATGCATATACTTAATCTATTCAATTTTTCCAGTAATTTCCCGCGTCTTCGATTCTTCTACAGTTTTTGTTATTCTTTTTATTACACTTATATACAAATAGACATTCACTAGAATTTCATATATATATATATATATATATATATATATAGAATATGTCTTTATTTTATTTTATTTTTCTCCTGCATTACTTTAAATTTCAATTTTTATTCCATTACTTCTCTATTCATTATTCCTCCGACCGAAGCGTTGCGCTATTCATACTCAACTAATTTTATGTACACAGTAAATACAGCCTAGCATCTCAAACAGAATCATTTATATTTTTCTTCCGTCCTACAACCAAGTGAAAGTCATATTCAAATCAATGGTCCATTTGTCACGCATAGCACTAGACATTCAATCAATTATCTTCATCGTCCAATGAGTAGAGTTTGCAAATCCTAAATCCTTATTTCATGTCTCATAATTAACTTCTTAGTAATTATAGGTATCTCTCGATTTTTGTTGCGAATTTCTTTTTCTTAAAGGATTCGCTTCTTTTTAGCAGTAATCGAATATTCGACTTAATCCAAAATGAACTCTCACTTTTTTTTGCATTTTTATTTAAAACTGTAAAGAAGAGCATAAGTATGTTTTAATGATTTCATATTCACTTAGTGTATGCATGCATGTGTGATTCTCGGTCTGTTGTTGTACTGCAGCTGATTCTGTTATCACTCGCTCGCGCATTTTGTCGCTCTGCTATAATTACAATTGAGTTTATCATCTCTACCTACGGGCTACGGGCTGCCGGTACTATAAAGTCACAGAGAAGATTATTATTTAATATTTTGATTGTCTCATTGCTATTCCTATTTTATGTGCTCCAAATAATGAAAGGTGACTGGAATTCAACAGCACGCACAACATATATATATATATATATATATATATATATATTATTACATTTACCCCTATGTTCTCAGCAGAGATGCGTGCAAAATTGTTCGAGAAATAAATCTCACAACTCTCACAAATTTTCAAAATATTTTAATTCTAAACGCATTTTGCATTATATTTTGTATTTTTTGAAATGCTTACACCCCACCCCGAACTCTTTTTGCAAATATCGTTGCCATTCCTTACCTTCCTTATCGTTGCGTTTTCCTTATTGTTAGAACGAAAGCATGAAGGATTTCTTATATGCGAGTGTAGGGAAAAGCTTTTTCAACATAACGTTTTTCGTTCTCATTGAATTCCTTTACTTAGCCGTTAAATAAAAACCAATTTGTAACGCCTAAAATGGTATAAACAAGCGATAGTCTTAGCTGGTTCTACCTATGGTTTTTGATTGATAGAACGTAATCAATTTTCCCTTTCCATCGTTACATGTGACAAATACTTACATTAAAATTTTCCTAATAAGATTTATAAAGTTTTCTTATAACTTTATATGATCCTTCAATTCCAGTTGTGTTTGTGTGATCCTCCTTCACAATATATAGCTCCTTTCGACAGCTTAGTTTGTTATCTTTCGCAGCTCATGTCAACTATTCAAACAAATGTGAAAAGGATATGCTTTTGACCATTCTATTCTATTTGAATCAAATATATCAAATTTTTAACGAATTTATTAAATTACAGACGATTAGGGAAACTTGGGGAAACGCTTATAAAAATTTAACTAATAAACAAAAGTGGTTTTCGTTTGGATTGATATTAAAACCAATATTTACTTTTAAAATAATGCAATGATCAGAATTTACAAAATATTGTGGTTTCATCCCAAGCTTACTTTGAAACAATCCACAAATGGATACCGAGTATATAGTATATAAATTCCGTGATAAAGTCTACTGACAAAGACACTTTTTAAATTACGTTCGCGTGCAATTTTTCCGAAATAGATCATCACATGTTCGGAAGTACTTACAAGCAAAAGTATTAATTTTCCATAATTTTTATTATTTTATCTTTTGTTTTTGCTTTTTGACAAAATCATTTCCTTTTTTTTATATTTAACTGTCCTGATTCGCTTCTTTGCTTTTTCTCCTTACAGCTTTTAATTTATTTATCTAATAATTAAATTCCATTAACTTTATTTTAATTGTAAGTCGTGTTAACATTTTAGTTCATTCAGAATTTCTATAACCCTTCAAGTATTTTTGGTTCTTGTTACTCTTAATCTTTAGAATATTATTCTCCAGCAGGGAAGGAGGGAACTTTGTAATCTCTTTTCTTCTAGTAGGTCAGTTCGCAATGATCGTTTGTTGAGTTACTTACTGTTTGGACAAGTCTTTTCAGGTAAAAGTAGTAAGACAACTTGTAATTCCCTGCCTAGGAAGTTGCAATAGTCTAAATGCTCTTATCTCATCTACAAACGTAAGTTTTTAATTTTCGCCGCTATTAGTGAGATTAGCTAATGATTTAGCTTTGGGACGAAGGCGTGGATTGGTTATGTTTTATTTGTTTTTCTACTATCCTACCTTCAATTTTCATTTATTTTCTTTTCGATTATTTAAGGAGTTTTTGTATCATTATCTTTTATTATTACACTTATAGCAGATATTGTAATCTATTATAACAGACCTTAATGGCTTTAAGGCTGCCTAAGCGTTATTAAGAAAATTATATTTTCCTTGCTTTGGATTTTGTAAAATTTGTGTTTCCCTTTACTTAAAGATGCAGAGGACACTTATAACTTGCATTTGCTGGTATGTACTGTACTGGACAGAAAAATCAAAATAACGTTCATAACGTGATATGAAATTGAATGATTAATGACTAACTGTTAAATAAACGTAACTATACTGTGTGACAATTTCTTTTATTACTGCAAGTTTTTCGCAGATACTACATTTTCAAAAGTGTTACCTATATATACATATATATATATATATTTAAAAGTTGTAGAAGACATTTGAAATACTTTATCAGATAATCTCGTAAAAGCGAAAATTTAGAATTTTCGTAAAGTTACTTGCATGCAGGGTTGCTTTTATTGTGCATCATATGCTGTTGTATATCACATTACAATAAATTTTGGCACAATTATAATTATAATCAAGGATAAAATTAATACATTCAAATTATTGCAAGGTCAATCCATTACTCTTCCTTTTTGGTACGTAACGGAGGGTTGCCGCTATAAACATATTTGAAGTGCCATGTAAAATTTCCATTCACATGAAGTTAATAGCTTTATTATTTTTCTTCTTTCAACTTTGCTCCTACGTTGTTCTTTGTGGAACGAAAGGTTACTTCTATTGGACTGCATTGCATAGTTTAGCATCTCTGTTCTCATTTTCAACATATGATGTTACTACTTTGTTAATTATCATAGAAAACTATTTCTGCGCCTTGCATTCTGTTAATGGTCTAGTTATTAAATGTTTGTTGATGAAATTTGTCAATTAGTGTTTTCGTCAAAGTGCGCATAAAGAGATAAAATTAGAAACATGATTATTCCTATACGTTGTTTTACATGTGGGAAAGTAATTGGTAATAAATGGGAATCATATTTGGGCCTATTGCAAGCCGAATATACCGAAGGGTAAGAATTTATAATGTTACGTTGCTTTGAGTTATTTTTCACAAATTTCCATTTCTTTTAAAGCGATGCCTTGGATGCTTTAGGTTTGAAGAGATACTGCTGTCGAAGAATGCTGTTGGGACATGTTGATCTTATTGAGAAATTACTTAATTATGCACCTTTAGAAAAGTGAAGTGCCATGGATTTGGAAATATTCCCATTTTACGGGTGTGCGTTACGAAATTAGAAACATTGATCAAATTTATTAAATTCAATAAATTCATTAAAAAAATATAGTTTTACAATTTGTCCATAAACCACGGTTGACCATTGTTTTCCCGGCGTTTGGTGAGTATGTCGCAACCGTTTTCCGTAACTAAAAGAGTCTGCTCGAACTGGGCCGAATATAGGCCGTCGGCCGTCACAGCTGTCCAATCATCTGGCCATTGCTCGCTTTTAGAAACTCCCTCCGATATCATCGGTTCAATAGTAAAGCAGTGACCAGCTTTCATGACGCCTACAGCTGAATTTTCTATAAATAAATATTATCGTAGCGTTTAAAGAGAGAAAATAATGGGAAAATTCACTTACTAGCATAATGAGGCACATTGGGAGCAGTATGAAATAATTTATGAATACCATGTCCGCAATAACTTTTTACAACACTGAAACCATGAGGTGCTATATGCTTCTGTATAACATTACCTATTTCGCGATACTTTACGCCAGGTCTTACCAATTCGATGGCTTTGCATAAAGATTCATATGTTACTTGAACTAGACGTTTGTGCCTGTCGGAGACATTGCCAACAAAAAATGTTTCGTTTAGATCCCCATGAAAACCATGATGATAAACTGTCACATCTATATTACAGATGTCTCCGTCTTTTAGTGGCCTCAAATCAGGTATGCCGTGACAAATTACCTCATTAACGGATGTACAACACGATTTGGGAAAATTGTAATAATTCAACGGCGAAGGATAACAATCCCTTTCAATAGCTGCTTCATGCACAATGCGATCTAATTCATCCGTAGTGACGCCCACTTCTATTGCTTTTGCTCCTTCATCCAAACACTCTCTTCCCAATTTACCTGCGACTCTCATCGCCTCTATTTCATCATCGTTCAAAACCTTGATAGAAGTATTACTCCTCATGGCCTCTTCCGAGAGTGCCCGTCCATCTGGATGGTCAGCATAATCGGGTCGTTCTATGCCTTCTGGTACATTTCTTTTCCCAGTTTTAGGAAATGGCCTTAATTGACCGGTAAAACGGTAGCTGGGCCATGGATTGTACTCTCCTTCATTCAATTTGGGTTTTGCAGCACCTTCTACGGTTAATATTTGTCAAAAAAAATTCCAATTATCAATGGAGTATGAATTACAAACCTGCCAATGCGTGTATCATTTTATGCTCCTTCCAATACCCTTTAAAGCATTCTTGCGAACAGAAATAAGATCCCGGTATTCCAAGCTTTAAACACGTGGGGCATTGTAGTGTAGCTCCCTTTCCACAATTAGGCGTTTCACATTTTTGAGGCATTGCAGATTCTTTTACAGGGTTTCGAGTTCAAATGTTTATATCTCTTTAAATGAAATCTTTACTCACATCTAGTTACTTCATTAGGCAGAGAAGTTTTTAGAAATGCTCAAAAATGACTTGAGAGCAAAAAAAAAGAATTTGAAATCAAAAAAAATCTTATAGTGAATGAAAAGCCAGATTAAAACTAGAACATGAAAGTCAGCTGCTGAAAAAGATTTCTAAAGATCTAATTATAGACGTTTCAAATTACTTAAAAGAATAATGTGATTGAAAGCAAACACATGGCGGAAACGAATCAAGCAAGAACAAGAAAAGTTGAATTTCACTTTTATATAATGTAAATGAATGAATCAGTAAATGAATGAATGAGTAAATGAAACTGTTAACAACTGACGACTTTCGCCCTTATATGATTGTAGATTTCAAAATCAACAAAGACATTCGTGGCTTTTTTTTTTCATTAAAGTTCAGATATGTGTCCTTTTTTTTATTTTAAATGGGCCTTATTAAGTCAAACATACGCCAATAATCTTCTGCCATTTGCTTAGTAAAAATCACTGTACAATCCTTGTGACTTCCGAGGTGATTGGGAGTGAAACGGTCACTGAAAGTGGCAAGATCTGGCGCTGTAAGATGGGTATATCAAAATTTCTCATTCAAGCTGTGTTTATTTTTGCTGTGTAATGCCGATGGAAGCCTAAGCTCCATTTGGGACGCTTTAGCTTAACTGTACACTTCAATCACATGAGTTACTCACTGAAGAAAGTGGAATCAAATGTTTGGGCAGATGGCAACAACTCAGTCCCAATCCCGCCGTTTCTTCATTTATTTTCATGATAAAATGCCAAGAATTGTACGGTGTTTTTATATACGACGAGCAGCGACCTAGCGTGGTCCAAATTTAGCAAAAGTTATTATTATGATTATTTTAATTTTAGACTAATGAATTGAATTCTTAGACTGAAAAAAAGACATTGAGCACTAGCAACACAGGCTATCGGCTCTAATTTTCTTGCTTAAAATGTTATTATTCTTCGCCTATTACCATATAAAGCCCTTACTTTTCCCGTCTCTCTTCAAAAACAAAGGGTTTTGAAAAACAGACCTATGTGATCTAAATGTATTGCGGTTGATTTTTATGTTGTGAACCAACTTGTATCATGGCATATTAAAAGTTCGACCTTTTTACTATATAAAAACTTATTTTTGCTGATTAACTTTATATGGGATGTGGTTCAAAAAATTCTCCTACGTGACGTGATTAACTTTTATGCTATTTAACTGTCATCGATTAGTTTTCATCATATTAATATTGAGAATGAGAAGGCGCAGCGGAAGTAGTCGGCCGAGTAGTCGCAAAACAGACCCGATCAGACCCCGGTTTTACTTGGATCCAAAATTAGGATCACATATGTTGAACACAAAACACGCTTGGACAGACAAGCGTAAATCGATTCAAAAAACGATTCTGAATCCACGATTCTAATTCAATTAGCGACATAAGGTCAGAATGTAAATCAATTCTTACTTCTAACACAAAACATAAGGATTACGTGCTACGTGATGTACTCTGACCGATAGTGTGTTAAATTCTGACTTGGTAGATAACTTTCAGACTTTGATAGATAAGATGCAGCTTTCTTATTTTATTCTTAACGTTCTTTGTTTTCGTATTTTAATCAAACGAGTCGTTAAAGTACATGGCAAAATTTGGTACAGTTTTCATTTTGGACAATATTATATAAAAAAAAAGATAGCTAAATAAATAAGCATTTGCATAGATGTAGTATGATTTCAAATGGATTTATCGAGTAATGCTTTGACCGTAGCGTTTTCACCGTTTGAGACATCCATTGACGAAGAGACTTCATATAAATCATCTTCCTGTTGATGCTCACTATTAGCAAGTTGCATGTTATTAACATCCTCGACAGTTCCTTTGACTAGGTTATTAGAGCGTTTTTGTAGGCGTGCCTATAAAAAAGGAAGAATGAATAATCTTTGCTTTCAAGAAATCATAGCAAGTAAGTAAGTAAGTAAATGGCTTGCTATACTTCTTCATCGTCGGGCACAAAAATGCGAAGCGGTGTGCTCTCTCCCAATTGTTGTTTAACTAAACGTTCATGCTCTTGAAAAGCAGTAGTCGCATCTATTGGTTTTTGCTTATTTGCCTGGTGTTGTATTAGATGATGCTGCTGTTGTTGCTGCTGCTGCTGCTGCTGCAACTCATTGTAAAGTTTTTGTTGATGTCTCTGAGCAGCAGCCTGTTCTTCTTCCGCGTACGCTTGAAGTAGTTGGGAAGAATCCTGTTGAGAATTGTCGTAATAATTCGAAATTATGAAATTTGATTTCGTTGTAGGTTGAGCGGCATTATGTAGTCGGAACGATGCCTTTTCCACGTCCTGTTCATTATCCAAGGCGGGAGCCGCGATCAATGCGGCGTACTGAGGAGCAGTATTCCATACTGCATTTAAATTGTTATTCTCATCTTTTGCAGCTTGCAAAATTTGCCCATCACTAGCTATCTCCTGCGTCATGTCAGCGTTTGCATAGCCCAGATCGGGTACAGCATTTATAGCCGACGATGGTTTAAACAGTTGTTGCCGGTGTTGGTTATATAAATGATTAGATTGCGCTACAAGATAGGTAGGATTGTAGATGGGTATAGGAACGGCCTGGACGGGAGCTGCTGTTCCCGGTAACGAAACTTGCAATTGATTGTCTTGCGTATATTGCAGAGGATAGACATTGGGAATGAATTGTTTCGCTGAATCAATTGCCAAAATTTGCACTAAAGGTTGCGCTACCGGCAAATGATTGCTTTGTACATCGACCGGCAAGGGTTTATTTATGCTAGGTCGGTTAAAAGGTTCAGTGGCCGGTTCAATATGAGCCACTGGCAATGACGGATCCGGATCAGGCGCATACAATTTCTGTGATCCTGTCAACGAATTCACAATTGTTTTATCGTTTGTATTATCTTCTACGACTTGATAGGTATTTTCGTTCTGAAGATTGACTTGAGCTTCTAATAGAGGTTGTGTTGAAGTGATTTCCTCTGCTTGAGCAATATGATTGTCTTGTATGGCTAAATTAGGGGCAGGTATTGTGTGTATTGGTACGAAATGATCAGATATAAAAGTCGGATGGGACTCCAACTGAAATTACAAAAAAAAAAATGTTTTGCTTTTATTGCATTATTGAAGAAAAAAATATTTAAATTTTCAAAATGGCTTTGCAGTGGCATTGAGCTATGTACAAAAAAATGTACAAGGCACATATAAAATTTCCCGATATTTTCTATACACAACACGATGCAATTGTGGTACAATTTTTTGTGTAATTTTTTTCTCAATTTACCGGTAAACTTTGGATCTCGTTACTGCTATAGATTTCCTTATTTGGTATTTCATATTTAAAAGGTACATCGTAACTGGTCGCCGGCTTATGTACGGGTTTCAATTTGGATTTCAGCTTCGAATTGGTTAATTTCAACTTCATCGGCTTATAAAACATGGCCGAACTTTTCGTATATAAAGGTCCGGTTAATTTCAATGGCCTATAACCTCTAATATGCATATTAGCAGCATTTATGTGATGATGAACATGGCTATGGCTACGCGCATGCCCTGGATGTGGTCGGCCCTTTAAAACAATCGGTACTGGATGATCGCTACGTATTTGCACGACTAGTGCCTTTAGTTTTTTTTGGGGATACATAAGAGCCTTTGGCATCTTATAAGGCGTCTTGTATAAGTGAGATGCGTACTTCCCCGAACTGGGCTCTTCAACCGACAAACATATGAAACAAGAAATTATAACGCAAAGCAAGTAAAGCTGAAAGAAAAAACAATATTTACGTTACATGTTTGCATATATATATACATATATTTTTTTTTTATAATAAATATTAAATGGAATATTTGTTAGGAAGAATACAAAATCTTTCTTCTTAATGTTGTTAATAGAGACTTCATACATACAAAGCACAAAATGAATGGGAGAAGCAAAAAATGTCTGATTCTGGTAAAAATATATCTTTTATTTAGCTTTCTTTCAAACGAAAGTGGTGATCTGGACGTACAGAAATCGAATTATTCCATTATAAGCGACAGGGATTTTTTTTTTGTAGAGGCACAAGTCTTCTGGATGGTCTTCATGTCGGTTCAACATTTTCGTTTCATCGGCAAATGTCTCTTGCGAATAGGAATTTATTTTTGATAGTCATAGTGTTATACGAATAGGCGACATGCTCCGTGTAATTGGTCGTATTACAAAAAAAAGAAAAAAGGAAAAGATCTAATTCCATTTCCATTTATCGATCGCGTAATCAAATATTGCCCCACATGTCAGATCATCGACTATGTCTTTACGACTTTCCGTGCAAAGCCTTCTAAAGTCTGTTAATCTGGGATAGAAATCGTTTCATAAATTATGGTGTTCCGGCAAAAGTTTTTCTCGCTTCAAAACTGTGCAATTGTGCAAGAAATTTATTGCTATCTATAACGGAATAACTCAGCTCCTCCAAGTTCCATTGTTAGATACATCTGTCTGAACGTCAGTGAAGCACGTGCAATAGTCATTAATAGATTACGCCGCTAAAATGTGATATATTAATAAAGTCCTACTTACTTTCGAACGGACTTTCTATACGGACCTGTTCCATAGAAAGGAAATTTTCGAAAGCTCGTTATTCAAGTCTGAATGATAGGGGGTTAAATTTTCGAAAAATTTCCAAGTCCACCTGCAAGTAACATTTTTAGTTATTGGCAGGGCATCGATACACATACGAAGGCATTCATTCAACCGATTATATTGAAAATGTTAGATTTATTATAGTAGTGTGTCACTCAAGTCTTTTGTTACATTTATTTTATGAAAAGATTATCTAACTTGGACGAGAGTACTTATCTTCTGGTAATTAATTATTCGAGTAAGAGAGAGATAGAGAGAAAGAGAGATAGACTACTTTCACCATGGCGTATAAAGTTACGACAATTAAAAATGAAAAAGTTTTTTTGCGATTATCCTCTTTAATCAGTAAAAATACAATTCTCGTATCGAATGCTTTACGTAAACTTAAATATGGAATTTATTATATGCTATGAAAACAATTATAGTAATGTGTGTGTGTGTGTGTGTGTGTATGTGTGTAAGTAATATATATATAAATTTCCCGTCCTAATATGGCAACTTTCTATAATTATGCGTTGAAACCTAGCAATTAATGCAGTTTTCTTTATAAGAAACACTAACTACTACATAATGAGCATAGACGAGTTTAATATTAACCACAAATATATACAATAGGGGTTTTAATTGCGTACATTTTTAAACACATACATGTATACTATATACAGATAATAAATTTATGCTCAACACGTGACTTGTAACACATATTTGTTTGTTGGTCAAACTAAACTAAAACTAATACTAACACTAACGATAAGATAAAGATTTACTTTCGTTTAATTGTAGCGAGCATTAGTTATCATTAAACGATGAATACATGCATAAACATAAATCATGCTCTTGACTAAAGATTGATTTAATTATTTGCATCCATTTAAGATCCATTAAGATGAACAATATATATATTTATATATTTATATAAGATTTGGATAATTAGTAGGTTAAGTATATTCGTTAAATTTTAACTTTCAAGTAAAGTGAGTTTCAAACTTTCACAAAGAATACAACTTGATTGACTTCGAGGAATCAAATCAGTCTTATCTCAAATAACTACCGGGGATTTGGGGTTTTCTTGTAAAATGTTTTTCTACTAAACGCTTGTAAGAATGCGGATCTAATGTGAAAAATTGGTGAAAAATGCTTTTTTCGAACTTTTCTTCGGGCGTAAAAATCGCGGTTCGAAAGAACAACTCGTCTTTTGAGGCTATTCATGGGAGAATCCTAGACAGGCTGCAATGTCAACGTTCGAAAATGTTATAAACACAGGAAGTAATATTTTATGAGCACAATAGCTTCGTCCCGGTATTGTATTTCTGAAATTTTTCTGCTTGGTTTTCATGCTAAAATATTTTTGGAATATTTTCTCATGTTCGATAATCGTATCCACCACGCATTCTCTGTCGTCCATTATCAATTTGATCAGTCTTCAAGCGTCGTACCCAATACTCCCAGACCTTTTTTCTCCAGTCGATGACTTTGGTCAGCATATTTTTTCGAGTTAGATGGGAAAACTAACTGCTTCCTGTAGTACGCGTATATAACTCAATCTATGTTGTTTTGTGCTTTGACGACTTTATCTATATAAGATGTAAGAACTAAAGATGATACTTTGTCGCAAACACGTCACATCATTATTTATGTCATGTAATGTTATCTTCATCGTTTCACACTCATGCTTATAAATATTATAAAAAACATAAAAAAACCTACCGATGGACATAATCGAAGCGGACAAAATAGTGCAGGATTAGAAAGGTCTCAGTAAATTTTTATTTATTATTATTGTAATTATTATTAATTTAGTCAGGGAAATAAATTCTGAGATTAAAATCTTGAAGCGCTAGCATTTAAGGCTATCGGCTTTACCGCACTTGAGATTCAAATCCACGACCATTGAGTTGCTAGTGGAGATTTTTTGACTTCGGCCACTCAGACGGATTGATTCCATGATAATGTCGTGAAAGCACTTAAGTGCTGAATTGACTGTTAACTGATCTTTATTGAACACGCTGTTCCATTCCTTCCAACAACAACAACTACATACGTAAACTGTCAATCGCGAAAAAATTTAATAAACATATTATTCCCAAACTTATAGATATCATCTTGGACTAAGCTTATCTCAAGTTACTTTTAAATATTAAAAAAAAAAAAAAAAAAAAAAAAAAAATTTAAAATATATTTTAAAATAATTTCAACATTTTAACTAACACAAAAATCATTTTCATTTTAGGTTAACGCGAACTTTTGCATCATGCTGCAGCAGCTAACTGTAAGTACATTCTTATATAATTCCTCAACGTCTTTTTCTATTCGATTTTGATTTTTTTTTTTGCTAAGAATTTATTCCACAATCTTTTTTATAAATATTTTTTTTTATGTTGTGGTTGCTTTCATTATCTAATGAGTTGATTGAATCTACCTACGACTTTCTTATATTATATTTGTCCAAATATTTCTACGTGCAGTTACATGAGTTCATTTGCATTTCACCTGAACTATAATAGAGTGAAGTCGTTAGAGAAAATCGGCAAAAAGCCAATAATTAATAACAACAAATGCAAAAATTTTGTAATAAATTAAGTATAAGGCTTTCCCGCTTACCTTCATAGTGAACTATAAAATATTTACAGATGATGAGAGAATTGAAAGAGAATATATATTAAGCAACACGATTCACTTTATCTTCTAACGATTTTAAATGATTGTATATATTGTAGGGATTGGAGTGCAAATTATTCGCGTATTGAAAGGAAATGAATTGAAAAATTTAGTCCAACAATAGATAAAGAAAGATTAGAATTGCTATCAAATAAATAAAAACATCGATTAACTTCATGACAGACAATTTCACTGCAACTTCTTTTTTTGTTATTTTTTTTTTTTTTTGTTAATTTTGAAACAGAAATTCGTAATTATTTGTTCGCGATTGCGTCAATTCGTTTGAAAGTAATTCCGGCACGTTAAACACTTTGATTAGAAATCTTAAATTTGACTGAAATAAATATCAAGAAGTAAATGTGTGCAAACCTCGAAGCATTCATTTAATATATTAAAGTTGTTGCGTTGAAAACCGGCTGCAATCGCTAGACATTAACATTGGCGGCTTAAAAAAACCAAAACAACGCCACTCTCTCTTCTTTAATAAGTTGTTTTCGTAAATAGACACATGCAGACAAGTGATTCCAATGAAAGCGGTGACCAGTCATAGAGTGAGTTTTGAGTGACACGGTCCGCTACTTATCGAGACAGGCAAACGTGCTTTTCAGCAATGTAAAGACCGAAAGCAGTAAACAGAAAAAAAAATTACTCGCCTTTCCTATGCGCGCATGCGCCGCATGCGTTCCTCAAAAATTGTAATAATTTCGTCGCTTTAAAAAAGAGTACAAAATTCTACTTCCATTAGTTACGCTACGTGAAAAACTCAATATTTACATATTTACTTTACATGCCCATCTAAAAAAAGATGAGATGTATTCATTTCATTGGGCCGTTCGTTATATTCACAAATTGGCGCCAGGCCTAACTGTATTTTTCGGTCATAATATTTCCCAGCTTGAGGCTGACATCTGCAGTTCAATGTAGACTCGCACTGACAAAACAATGAATTTTTTTTCATATTAACCAACTCGCGTCCTTTCAAATCCAAGTCCAAGTAAGATGGAAATGTTGCAAATCGATGCCATGAGTTCAATAGTTCCAGTGAACCTGTGAAAGCGATTTAGAGGCGGAAATTTTTGACTTAAACATTATTACAATTCACTCGAAATTTTACATTTAATTGCTTAGTCGAAGTACTGAACCTGAGAATGAAGTTAACGTAGTGTTGCAATAGGTTGAATAAAGTTGTTGCGGTTATTACATAAGAGAGAGAGAGTGCCTTCCGCTTTAGAAATCATTTTGCACTGTAAGGTATACGATTAATCGTCTTAAGGTGATCCTACTACGGATCACCTTAACTTAAGGTTTAATTGCATAAATAATTTCTTTCTTTTATTTAAAACACTAACTATATAAATATGGTTTGTGTGCATGTCTATGCTTTAACAACATTTAATTAATTGTTATAGGAATAATAAAGTAAAGAAGAACTTAAGTAAATAATCGCGAATAGCATTAATTATCCAAAGGCGGGCGGGCATCTAATGGCATCTAATTTAAGTGAAATAAATAAAAGCAATGAGCAGAACTTTAAGCCGCAATTCAGGCGGTGTTGTTCGATACTCGGCGATGTGTGAAAGGCCAGCACGTAAACGTATTTCTGTTACATATTCATACATATATATATATATATATATATATACATATATATGTTACTTTCTTTTCACTCCTCTGCAAAGCTTTATAAGCAGGCTCGTAAGTGTTTGAAAAGCGAAACCAGTTCAGCAGAAAAATGAGTAATTGCACGCACATATATATCTATATGTATATATGTGTATATATATATATATATGTATTTATAATATATCGTTATTAACTTCCCATACTTAAATGGTTCGTTGGAAATCGCTTTCTTACCAGCTAATTATGCGTTACGAGCCTATTTTGAAGTTTCATGTAATCGTACGTGCTTATACGTGTGTGTAAAGGCAAATTGCTATGTATGTCAGTAAAATGGCTAAAAATTTATTCACGAAATTATGCATAAGAAAGTATTAAATAAATTTAGAAAATATGAGTCGATATATTAATGGACACCTTTTCATTTTTTTTTCCAATTTTTTTTTTTTTTTTTTTTTTTTTTTAATTTTTAACTCAAATAAACACACGCAATTTATTTCTTTTTTTTTTTTTTTTTTGTTTTTTTTTTTTTTTTATATATAACTGCCATGCATGCATACTAACTAATCTTTTGACAAGGAAGGAGGCTTCAAATTTCTAATAGAATTTCATTATCGATTTTTGTTACATATATGCATTAAAAATACCGGAAAATCGACTTGCAATTCGCATACATTTCCAATTAGGGAAATGAAATTTAATCGATATATTTAACAAGTAAAAACATTATAGTAGGCCACGTATCGCTATTAAATATTTTATATCACATCCTAGAGTTGTTCATATAAGGACTTTTCAAAATTAGGATTTATATGGAAAGCGTTCAAAAAAGTAGTTCGATTCGAATCAATTTCAGTAGCATTTGTCCTTGAGACAAAAGCTCGCTGGTGTACAAAATTTCATCAAAATATCTCAAAATTTGCCTTTAGTCTGAGCAAATGGGCAGATGAACAGACGGACAGATGGACAGACGGACAGATGGAGAGATGGGCAGATGAACAGACGGACAGACAAGCTTAAATCGATTAAGAAAGTGTGGTCGCTTCTGGAAGTTGCATGCAACCGTCTAGACTTAACATATACTCTTGTACCACCAACTATAAGAACGAATGTTTAGCTTGTGCCACAACACAAAATGTCTTCGGTATTTTAGCTAAGTTTTGTTTTGTAAGGCTTGAAAAGCCGTTCTCCCCAGTTACCTCCCGATTATTTTGTAAATTGAAGAGTAACTCTACGAAAAGAAATTCGACTTAAACGATAATCTTGGAAGAATGTCTTCTACGCATTGACACACTCATATGTAGAAAACAACAATGGATAGATAGGATTGGCATCAATGGAATTAGAGCTTAAGAGCCGCGAAGACATCTTCTAACATTTTAAACATGGTGCAGAAAAGCATCTTACTGATCCCACTACCTCTTAACCCAATTCATTTGCTTGTAACCGTGCCTGGCTCTTGAAATGATTTTTAGCCTATGCGATACCTTATCGCGAAACGTTGTAACTTCAGTTTTAAACAATAGCAAAAATTTAAGAAAATATTTGAATCCAAAAGGTATCAGAACATAGGGCTAGGCTGGCGTTCATTTCACATACAGGTTTATGACGTGGCATAGAAGACGCAAAACGGCTGTAGACCTCTTTCGGGAACAAAGATTCTCTTAGATAATCGCAGACAGTATAGATCTCTGTCCGTTGAGCAAATCAAAGCATTACCAGGCATGATGGGGGAGAGACTATCTCTAAACAATCTGCCATATTTACTACCCTGATTTTTGCAGTGGAGTAACAGTGAATGAATTGTTTACAGAAAGAAAGATAGAAAGAAAGTCTTTACACTTGCTTCACAATTCCAGGGCGATCTTGTAGTGCTTTCATCAGTGCATGCAAACTGCAATGAATCGTTTCCATATAACAAGCTTTCTTTTTATTTTTTTTTTTCCTCTCCCTAAGTAGTATTTAGAAGAAAAACACTTATTAAAAATGTCGATGAGGCCGAACATATCTTTTTATTTGATTATTTTATTATTATTATTAAATTATGGCTATTATAACTCATTTTTCTTTTTTTTCACTTGATTTTTCACGTTGTGTTAAATGCTTAATTCGCTATTGTACATAATATTAAAACGTAAATTTTTTATTTATTCATTTATTTTTATTTTTTTTTTTTGCTAATTTTCAATTAATTTCTTTTGTTTAAAATTAATATGTATGTCTGTAGGTGTAATTGCAATTTTTCTTTTCTTTTCTTTTCTTTTCTTTTCGTTTTTTTTTTTTTTTGTTGTTGTTTTGGCGTTTTCTCGCTATTCATACTACGGATACTATTTAAATTGTGATAATAAAATATTTCATTTATTTTATAATTATTATAATGAATGCGTGTGTACGTATCAACCTATCTGTGGTTATGTTAAACATCAAGAGATATTCACTCTTGGATATAAAGATTTCATGTTCTGTTACTGTTATTACGTTGGTGTATTTTTCATTTTATTGTTTTTTTTTTTTTTTATTTTTATTTTTTTTCTGTTATTCTTTTACTTTTTACAATGCTTATAGAACTACACAACGATGCAAGGATCTGTCGGCCTTTTACACTTAAGAGTAAATATTCTCAAAAAGAAAAAAATTTTATTTATTTATTCGTTTGTTTTTTTGTTTGTTTTTTTTTTTCTTTGAAAAGTTGCAAGATTTCGGTTTAAATTAATTGTTAAATTGTTTAATTTTATATTTTATATATTAAATTTTAATTCGTGATTACTGTAGCTTTGGCAGTGGTTTCATATTGAACAAATATTCGAAAATTGAGAAGCCTTTACGAACATTTAAGTATTTTGTGTTTTCATTACATGTGCATAATGCTGCGTTTCTGAAAGTAAGGGATTTGTGTTCATTTCATTCATTTTTATAAATTGAATGCGCATTAAATGCGCTCTCTTAGGTTTAGGCCAAATCTCGGAAACATCCATTATCATTTAAATATCACGCTTCACGTATATATTTTAATTACATAGGAATATTCGAATAATGCAAAATATTGACGCGATTACATATGCGAATTATTAAAACATTTATATTACAAAGTAAATTTCGACAGTTAACTCTATCTACACTTCCCACGCGCATAATACATTAAGCAAATACACTTAGGTCTGCAAGATTTTAATTTTTTTGCAAAAGCATTTAAAAGCATTTAAAACTACTTCAAGCAAAATATCACACATAGAGACGGGGAGTCGATTAGATTCTATAAACTAGACGCACTTGCAAAAAATAAGCACAGAATTAGAGATTCATTGAAGAAAGTGGAAAAGTCGATTATTAATTAACTCAGTTGATTGAAATACAAGACAAGATGCTCCATAATGAGGAAGCAAACGTTTAGTCGCAAAGAAAAAATTAAAGGCAATCACTCAGGTCATGCCTTCTGTTCATGTAACATGGTGACGGCCAGAAAGAGAGGAGAAAAAGGAAAAAGAGATATGGAGACAGGGAAGTGGGTGTGTGTACCTAATCGATAAATGTTATGTCTTTACCAACTAAACACTTGAGCTTTGAACCCGCGGACAATGACTTGATAGTCGCAGTTCTTATTTACTCGGCTGCTCATGCGAGTAACTCATAGTATTTACCTGTAGAAAGGGGTCTTTCCGTTCACTCATCCATTGGGGGAACACCAACAGTTGAATAGTGAGAAGAATTTATGGGCCCTCGGCAGACAATGG